CGTTTTGTCACAGTGCAAATTGTGCGACATTGTGTACTGCAAATGCAAGCTCGGTGAGTGATAGCTAGTGTAATGAAAGAGTATAATGTACACGTCACGCACACGTGATGACGTAATACCAACATCCATGCGAACGAAATAGGAGAGGATCAAACACGTGTATAAGAACTTATGCAACAACCTAATAGTCACACTGGTATCTATGATTATACCCAGTTCCTGAGGCAACATGGTCATTTACTTTGCTGAATATGCTCGTTCCAGTCGGAACTGCCCGATCCTCGTGAGTCGATGTTTTTCACATCACTGTTCATGGGTTCAGTGAGTATGACAGGCCAGATCGTTGATGGTCCATACGCTGGCTGGAAAATCATGGAGGTACCTTTATGAACATCCATGCAAGCATCACTTTCGCTTTTTCTCTTCAATAATTCCTAGCGGGACGTTGATTGCTTCAGTTCATTCCACAGTTCTGAGTATTCAGGGAACTCGCGAAGTGCTTCGTTTTGTTCCTGGCATAGAAGAAGGAGCTGAAGTGTTGAACAATGCTCGGATAGACTTCGTTCTGGAAAAAAGGAGGATCGAAGAGGTACTGGCAGCAGTTATGCCGCTTGAGGTATGAAACTCTTCACTGATTTATTGTTTGCTTCAGACACATTCCGTCACCCTAAGTCGCAGGAGAAACCATGAGTTTGTATGTGTTGATTGACCCACAGTCTTCCAGGAAGTGGGTAATGGTGTTGAAATATGGAAAAGAAGTTGCGAGGTGACTCGCCTCTAATGAGAGAATGCCTTTGATACGCCCAGCAGCCCCAAACAATTGTACAGGTAAAAAAACTAAGAGACGGCGTGTTGGGACTTTTCCTGTCGGTTGATTCCCAGCAATGAATCCTATGACTCCACAAGCGACAATGGAGCATCCGTTTCATGGTTCTTGTCTGGGAGCATCACTTTCGACCGAAACTGACTGGAGGCACGAGTCTAGAGGCGACTCGCTGGTAAAATGAGGTGTCATCGTAGCAACTTTGTGCCTTAACTGCTTTGCCTTACAATTTACCGCCGCCAAACTAGCACTAGAATTTCCACTGCGGACCACACTACCCTTCCCACACATCTCCTGAATTTTCATAAGTCATCGCGAGCCGTTCGTCAGGAATTAACGGAGTTGGTAGACGGAACCTAACTTATCAGTACATGTCTACGGGAAGTGCTTGCTTCCCCTTCATGTCTTTGAGATGGGACACATGTCACATGCAGCACATGGCGCGTTAAACGAAATGTTGCTACGCAAAAATGGTTGCCCAAGTCGTAGAAAGCAGATTCAGTCACTTTATTGGTCAGTGACTCCATCAAGCATTCCCATTGCTAATTATCACCTGTATCACCTGTATCACCTGTGCTCCCGTTGATCATCGAGTTCCTCGAGCGGGCGCCAGTAACGTCTCCATTCGTCCCTGCAACGTGCAAGAGTTGCCCAATGAACTCTCTCAGCTCGAGGGACACGATGAACTTCATACCGTTCGTTCAGAGCTTTCACGAAGAAGTCTGACCATCGCATAGGCGGTCGTCCAGGCGTTCGCTTGACATCCCGTGGAATCCAGTCGGTGACTGCTCTGGTCCAGCGGTCGTCCTCGAAACGCATAACGTGTCCGGCCTGATCTTCGAAGCCTTGGCAAAAGCGGCGGCGACCGGTGATCTTCGATCGTCGGCGGAGTGCGGAGCTCCGGATTCCCTCTCTCACTTGCGTGTAGCGGGAAACTCCGAGCATCGCCCTTTCGATGGCGCGTTGAATAACGCCGACCGCATGCTCATCCTGCTTTCAAGTCTCTGAGGCGTACGTCAAGGCAGGAAGGACCGCGGAATCGAAGAGGTGGGCACGGAGCTTGGCTAATCAAACAAACAGACAAAGGCTCTCGAAACTTTGGCCACAAAACTAGCTGATACTGTGAATTCATTATTCGGGTGCAGAGGACGTCGAGACGGGGGAATGTCGAGCGAGACTAGCAGTGGAATTTATTTTTTCCATTTTCTAGATTTTAAATCCCGATAAGTTCATTTCCCACAGATTCAGTTCGTCACAGATATTCATAAGCTTTGATCGCGAAAGATTCGCGATGATTCCTGCCTCGGAATGGATTGGCTACAATTGATTCAAGAAGGGGTATGAATAGGTGGATGTCTTAATTCAAGCGATTTCCGAGGGAGTCAGTTTGTGTCACAAACGGGACGATCTGAAAACTTCTTTTTTTCCTTGTATGGCGGATTTTCGTGTGCGGATGCTTTCACTGTAGACCGGCAAATAGTGCGCTAGTAGCTGGGTTGCAACAGTAGAAGCAATTACTTAGTTGTTTCTTGCAGCTGATCTGAGCGCAAATAACTTCAACACGCTGTTCACTTCTGTCTCTGGTCTCCGTGAGCTTTCTTCCACTTGCTTGAGCTTTCTTCCACTTGCTATGTCGTGCACGAATTTGAAAAGCGGGACTGCTTCACAAAAAATGTATTTTGTGAGCCGTATATGGGTCTCATTGAGGTATGTTTGATCGAACAGTGGAGGGACGCACAAGTCGCCAAGAGTGTCATGAAGAAAGCTAAGTAATTGGAAATGGTCCGAGATACCATCTTCGATGGTCTCCAGTTGCATGAAAAGGGGTTAGGATGAAGCACGATGTCTTCCAAAGCTCTGCTGACATCTTTTTCAATGCCACAAGTAAAGGCGAGCTGATGCGGGAATCCGAGCTGAGATCTACAAACACTAAGATCTATACAAACAGAGGCAGAAGGCAAACAGAGACAAACGTGGTCACCTTGTGAACACTGTGTCACACCATATCTGGAAGATGTTCCCGGCCGATGTACATTATTGCTGTTTAGAGTGAGTGCACCTCGAACTTAGGTAATTGAATCAAAAAAAAAAACAATGGAATATTAATTGCACGCCAAAACCTAGCAGACTGAGAACTATACAATGATAAAAATAATCATAAAATAATCATAATGTCACGAAATGAGGATTTTAGTGAACTTGAAATCTATCAAATCTACAAGTAGCGGTAGGATTGAAGAAATATGAATAGGTTGAGGGAACGCGAAACTAACAGGATTTGGATGGAATCTTCTAGATTTCGATCTCGATAAGCTCATCTTCCAGAAGAGCTTCATTATCACAGGAAGTCAAAGGCTTCAACTGCGTGGGAGCCGCAATGCACGGCGATCAGCCACTGGCGTCGGAACATGTCAACACTCGTTCACGAAAGCTTGCATCCTCCCTGTAAAATGTATTGCTGTCACTATATGTGCTGGACAAGTGGGAACAAACTTTAGCATAATTTATTTTACCAACACAAACCAACATACATCCAAACGACAACTTTGGAAACATAGACACCACTAGGTATAGGTGAAGTCGGGTATTCAAATAGACTCGGATATTGGCGCAATTTGGCGACGGGAAGGGCACTTTGCACTATCGCTGCTTCGCTGGTCCCTATTTACAGTTCTCATTCTAATGCTGAATCCCGTGAACTCTTGTGAAGCTGGAGCAAGCTCGTCAAGCCGCCTGGTAAATGGTAGTTGTATTCAATTTCATTTCTTCACAAGAGTTGACGGATGCTCGTTACAAGGCTCGACAGGTGTTCTCCACAAACTTTAACTGCTATCGTTAGAAAAGGGCGACATGCCCCACCCCGTCGAACTGCGCGTTGGATGTTACCTGGAACGCTGCCAACTGGTGGCCTGGTGACAGGCGCATAGGTTGATACTCTCTCTTCCACACGAGGAGTAACTGGAGATGCGGATCTCTGACCCCCACCACCTCTCCCTAAGCCACTTAGCCTTCTTCACTCTGAGCAGCTCTTACGAGACAGAGCCACACAGGCTGAATCGAGATCTATCACGAAGACACTAGCAGAGAGAGAGGGCCTCCCAAAAGGGATAGCGCCAGCGAAGGAAAAAGTAATGACTGAGAAAGACTCTTACTGGTGGCTGAACCGCCGTTTATACGGTAACTCCCGCCTTAGTCCCGCCCACTCGTGCAAAATTGGTCTACCGCGAAGATGACTTCCTACAAATCAGGATCAACTCCTCTGCGTCCTGCTCTTTAATGGCGTCCTGTATAGTTTGGGGTCATATCCACATTTCTTCCTGACATGCCCAACCCTCACTGGAGTCGGTATCCTCATCGACCGCTTCGAAGTGATCGTGCCTTATTGCGGATGACTTCATGCAGCTGTATAGCAGCTGCCATTCTCGGGTGCGTTTTGTAAAATTGGAATGTGACCGCTGGGCTTCCTGTCTCCAGGCATTCCTTGCTATCGCTCAATAAATCATTAACCGTGGCCACCATCTGCTCCAGTCCAGCGAATTTTCGCACCAATGCGTCGATGGTGCTCTATAGCTGAGCCATGGCCATCCAGGGTAGATGTTCCATCAGCGCTTTATCAGAAATATCCACGTCAGATCCACGTGCCGTAGAAGGAGCATCTGCCAGGGCTTCATTCACACTTACGAATGACTTCGCAACCCCGTTGTGAGCCATCTTGCTGGTTGTCTTTCTCCATCAGCGCCGCGATTCCAGCCCGACCGGCCCTTCTTGCGCAGCCTCGATGCATGATCCTCTTCCTTAAGCTCTTCCTTCACATCCTCGAATGCGATTTCATGGAAGGTTCTTGAAGTCCTAGATAGAAGAGCGTTTGCCTGACTTGTGCAGATGAACTCAGTTTTTGCTGCTTGAGCGTCAATCTTGAGACTGCAACCAACACCTGGGACTCTAGCTTCACGACCCCATCCCTGCTCAGCTGTATCTTCTCCGGTATCGATATGTCCGCCCTTATTGAAATTGAAGCAACCTCTCACGTCGACCACACTCCCTCATCGTTCTCGAGACGAGGCGGCAGAGAATGGTGTTCCGCTTGTGTTTACGAACTTTGTCTTAGTAGAACAGCCATTCTGACATTCGGACTGGAGATATCTTCTGTTAGAGCTGCTCACTTAAGATTACGGCTCCTAGCTGCACCGAGTTTTTCCTGAATTCGTCCTCTACTGTGAACAGAGTCCACCCTGAGTTTCTTTGAGGACGACCCACAAAGTATCATACTCTAAATCGCCATCGAATCGCAATGCTCTCCTATTCTCTTAGGCAGAACTAAATCTTACTTGTATCATTCACTCGCAAAAGGACCCTAACATTAGATGCACATTTCGTGCCCTCGCGATAGAACATAGACACGATCACCTTACTCTAGGAAGCCTTTCACCACTGTCAACTTCATTATAGCTCTTTTTCATTTACTCTCGCTTTCCTCTATTGTCTTTTAGCACTCTCTCAAGAGTCTTTGCAAGAGCCTGCAAAAATTCTGTTTAATACTCTTGCATTTTGTTTAAAACCAAAATATTGCTCCATTGCAGATGATATGGGACGGAACTACGGGTGTTCACACCGTGTAGTTTTTCTCCACAGAACGATGTGGCATTATGTTGCATGCCAACATAACAGCAACCTCACATCCCACTCCGTTGGTACAAGCGTACTCTTCTTCAACATAGCTACGCTACTGCCGTTCATCTCGGGTCGGTACCCTCTAGAAATTCTAAGCTTTTTTGGTGGTCTTCGGGATTTTAACCGTA